GATCATAAGTAACAATCTTGTGGATGGTGCTGAGCAGACAAGCTGGCGTTCTGTGATGCGTGCGTGCAAGGGAAACAATGTCGTGAACCATTCAACGGCACACGCCCGAGAGCAACAAGGCCGTTGGAAAGAATTCATTCGGACGTATGCGGACCAATCAAACCTACTGCGTGGGATGGTTCGAAATATTGTATTTCCTTCATTGACGACCACCCATGATGATACCCATTTTGCAATGCTATTCCTGATGAAGAGTAAATCGGAGGTGTTTGATCGATTCCGCGACTACGAAGCAATGGTAACGGCGCCATTCAACATGAAGATCTCGAAACTAACAATAGACCAAGGCCGTGAGTATCTTTCTAACAACCAAAAGCGTTTTAACTCACATAAAGGTATCCAAATCGAACCAACCGTTGTTTACATGCCTCAACAAAACGGCGTTGCGGAGAGGTTCAACTGAACCATTGTTGAGAAGGTCCGCACGATGTTAATCGATTCTCAAAGAAGATGTGGTCAGAAGCTGTCATTACTGCCGTGTACCTGGTGAACAGAAGTCCTACTGTAGCCCTGCCGAGAAGTATGACACTAGCTGAATACTGGTACGGTCAGAAGCCAAGTCTAGAAAAACTTCGAATTTTCGGATGCAAGGCGTTCGCTTGGATTCCCAGCCAACATCGAAAGAAATTGGATGCCAAGAGTCATGAAACCGTCATGGTCGGATATGCACCAAACGGCTACCGACTGTGACAAGAAGTCAAGAAGAATTATGATTGCTCGTGACGTGAAGTTTCATGAAACCTGCTTTCCCTACAAAGCTAATCCTGAAAATCAAGCAGATACACCACTCGTTGTAGTACCGTACGAGCAAGAGGGGGAAGTTGTTCGTGATTCAATGGAACCGTCACCTGAAGATTGGCCGATGTTACGTGAGAATACTCCGATTGCTGATGGTGCAGACGTTTTGGAGGTGGATGATACCGGAGCGCTCCCTTCGCAACTAGACAAGCGATGTTGAGGCGCAGCGAACGGGAGCGCAAGCTCCCCGGTAAGTTGTTAAATTTCTTCACCGGTTACAGAGCAACTTCTGCTGGCTCGTATTCCACAGATGCTATCCATGGAGGCGAACGGTGTGTGGAAGATGACGCCCTGTCCACGTGGCGTGAAACCTCTCAAATCCAAGTGGATATTCCGTGTGAAGGAAGACGAAGATGGCCAGGCCGCTTGATATAAAGCCCGACTAGTAGCGAAGGGCTACCTGCAGCGTTATGGTGTTGACTTCGTGGATACATATGCACCGGTGGCGAAGTTTCCAACCATCCGGACTGTGCTAACTGTAGGCGTCCACAACCAGTTCCATTTCCATCAGATGGACGTTAAAACTGCCTTCTTGCATGGAGATTTGAAGGAGGATATCTATATGGATATTCCTGAAGGCGTCCAGACTCCAGAAAATATGAGCTGCAAGTTGCTGAAATCATTGTATGGATTGAAGCAATTTCCACGATTCTGGAATGAAAAATTCAACAGTGAACTAGTCAAGATGGGTTTCAAGCGGTCCCGCCATGACTACTGCCTATACACACGATGCGAAGAAGGAGACGAGCTGTACGTTGTACTCTATGTGGAAGATTTGCTAATCGTAGGGAGGAAATTGGAATCCATCGCACGTATGAAGGAGAAGCTTTCGACTGTTTTCAGCATGACTGACTGTGGAGAAGCACGCCACTTTCTGGGAATGAAGATAACGTACGATCGGCAAACAGGAGTTCTTCAACTTCCGCAAGAGGCGCACGTGGCGTTTTGGACTGACTGAGTGCAATCCAGCTAAGTCACCAATGGAAAACGGACTGCAATTGCAACGAGAGGGGACGTCAACTGAAGAACCCTACAGGGAGCTACTAGGCAGTTTAATGTATATTATGCTGTGCGTTCGGCAGGACATCTGTTTTCCAGTAGGGTATCTGGGGCGCTACCAGCAAAAAGCAACAGAAACACACTGGCAGTGCTTGAAGCGAATCGTTCGTTACCTGAAGGGAAGTGCCAATGCTGTATTGAAGTTCGAACGCAATGACGACCGTCCGCTCGTTGGATTTGCTGATGCTGACTGGGCGGCCGACAATGAAGATCGAAAATCAGTCACGGGATACGTCTTTAAGGTGTTTGGATCAACGGTATCATGGTGCAGCAAGAAGCAAACTACAGTTGCTATTTCGTCAAGTGAATCCGAGTATGTAGCTCTGAGCGCCGCTACTGCAGAATCCCTGTGATTATCTGGAGTACTTGAAGATATGAAGGCCAAGGATCCGAAAACACCTGTCACCATATTCGAGGACAACAGAGGCTGTATTTTTTTCCTTTGGTTTGTTTTTTCCGTCGATCTTGTTTTCCGTGCTGAGCACCAAGGCTACCGACGTGCCAGGAAGGCAGCTCCCCCACACCTGGACCCTACCTATCGACCAATCAACTCATGAACCGGGGACCAACGGCTTTACTTCCCATCCGAAGGAAGGCGTGATCAGAGATGTTATGCCTCAGAACATCCCGACGGCGCCGACTGGGATTGAACCCAGGCCTGCTGGGGTGAGAGGTAATCACGCTTACCACTACACCACCGGTGCCGTTAGAGGCTGTATTTGAATGGCGAATAACTTGGAGACGAAACAAAGCAAACACATTGATGTTAAACACCATTTCATCAGGGATCATATTGCCGAAGGACGCATCCAAGTGGAATCTATTGGTACTCGCGGACAATTAGCTGACATATTCACCAAGCCATTGGACTCTGGACGCTTTCAAGAACTATAGTATACGGATGAGTCTAGGGCTACACGATTGAGAGGGGATGATATCGAAGGAACTTGGAAGCCAGAAGCAATCGTTTAATTCCATCTCAGTAGTCCTGCTTATTTGACTTTTCATTTTTTTTCTGTTCCATTATCAAACTGTCCTTCAAATAAACCACACGTTAATTGGAAGAGCTCTGCTTTCACTTATAAAAAAAAACAAATTCCAGACTAATTCATGATGATGACGAGCCCGATGATGTAATGACGGATGACGAATCTGTTGTTCCTGCTAACAGTGTGAATATTCAAGAACCAGTTCAACAGCGTGAAGAAAGAACCCGTAGACTTCCAGCTTGGCTGGCAGGGAGATGTACCATCGGCGTACACATCAGAAGAATATGTTGCCTGGTAGGCCATGTTTTGCAGCCATGGTACGAAAGTAACAAACTGAAAATATTTTGGAGTTTAGATCCAAACACCGAAGAGACAAAGTCGAATTATAATTAGCTCTTAAGGTGATACTCTAAGGAAGCCGTGAAACTTTAAAGGCACAAATGTCAGCTTCCACAAAACATACAAATTTGAAATTGCTACTCCTTGTTTGCTGTGCTACTACAAACAGAGGGTAGCAATTTCAAATTTGTATGTTTTGAGGAAGCTGACATTTCTAGATAGAGCTGGAATTAGGGCCTAACAGCTTTTGTAAACAATGACTTCTATCAATGATTTCTAGAAATTTAAGGCTCGCTTACGCAACAACATCCTCATCGGGTAGAAGACTTCCCCTACCGGATGGTTATGTTGGTTTGCGTGGCCGTACCTTGACTTCCTAGAAAACATCGAGAGAAGTCATTGTTTACAAAAGCTGTTACGCCCTAATTTCAGCTCTATCTAGATTTGTGCCTTTGAAGTTTCACGCTAAGCCTTCCTTAGAGTATCACCTTAAACCTAAAACTAGTTTCCTTCTGTTCGAGAACACAACATTAAGATGCTTAACAACCCCCCTTTTTTACTGTAAATTTCTCAAATACCATGAATTTCGTTGTGATTTTATGGTCATGGACAAAAATGTCCAATGTTTTGACAGTAAATAATATGGTTACAATGACAATGAAAATCATTGTATTTTTATTGGATTTTTTTTTACGGTATAGCTCTAGTATCAAATAAATATTTCCAAGCTTCTGATAAGTATTTTTAAGTATTTACAATTTTGGAATTTTTGAATCGTAGTCAAAAAAAAAGGCTAAAATATGACAATAACTTAAGGGATATGTTGAAGACACTACGACCGGACCTCCTATTAGTTCTACAACAATTAGCGGTAGTAAGGAGTTGAGAATAATGGATACACACACACACGGTTACTGATAAAATGAACAATGATGAATGCGAAAACTGAATTCATAATTCCTTCTTTTAAATATGAGCAGTTCTGTCGAGTTATTCTATACATTTTGATGATCAAAGAGTTAAGTTAAGTTCTCTTTCAAGACTTCTTCTTCTTTTTTTCTGTTCCAGATGCACTTCCATAGTTATTAATTGAGAGTTTTCGAAGCCTGTACCATTTTTGCATTAACATAATTGTGTGGAAAGTACAGTCATACTCTATGCCCAGGAAAGTCGAGAAATTTTACAGCCCGACAAAAAAAATCCTAAACCGGACTGGGAATCGAACCCAACTACCTTCAGCCTTTACCGATTCAGCTAAGGTAGGCCTCACACTTCAGGTTGGTCAAGTATTTTTCTAAAGATCACCAACTCTTTAAAAAAATAAATTGCACCTCTCAGACACTTTCCCAAGATTACGAATATTGAAAATATGTACAAATTCGGTATCCATTTTCTCAAGTCCTGCATCTCAATTTTAAGTTTGGAAGCTGATCATTTTCAATTTTCCCATGCTCAGATTTTTTTTTTTTCGCTTTCACGACATGGGTACTATCGCCGAGCAGCAAAAAAAAAGGGTAAATCACACAATACCAACAGTTTTTTTTTCCCTCTGAATATTATTCTTCATCGTTCGCTACGTCCACTATCGTATTGATCGTATTCGAGTAAACAACATAGCAAATATTTAGAAAAAAAAAATCATATCTTTTTTTAGGAAGTGATTCGAGAACAAACTTTCAAACAACTTCACAGTCAGTTCGCCGAAGCGATCTTCGCTCTGCAAAAACGTAAAGCAAATCACAAAAAGCCACTCACTTGAATGCACTCGGATTCCGTTCCAGCGTAGCCCGAATGGCCTTCTGCCGTTCCTCCTCATTATCCAGATTGTTGTAACAATCTCGGCAGTTACAGTTGTAGCAAAATTCCCCATTCGCGAAGCAGTCGCAGTACAACTTCAGACACTGCGACTTGGTGCAATTACACGGCCGCTTCTTGTAGGCCTCGTCGGGAAAAATGGTCCCCACGGCGGGACCTTTCCGTGTTTCATCTTCGGACCCACTGACGGATTCACGTTTCACCGAAATGATCGACGGGGCACTGCTGGCAAGTGTTGCTTTCTGCTGACCCAAAGCGGATGACGATGATGGAACCATGACTATTTTCGTTTTGGTACCACCGGTCATTACAGTGGTTCCGGCCAGTTGACTCAGCTGTGATGCTGTCAGGCTGCTGGCCGGTTCGGACGATTTACCATCTTCCTTTCGAACTACCGCTATGTAACGGGTCGATTCCGGGTCACGCCGAACGATACTAGAAACGAAGAATGAAAAACATCATTCAGATTGGAATGTTGGGTTTGGCACAAAGACGTAAACTTACCCAGCTTGACTACTTCCAGCAGAGATGACTTTTCGCACGACGGTTTGCGAACCGGATGCCATCACTCGGCTGACCGGTTGGCCAGAAGCAGTGCGCACAGCCGCTACATTGCCATTGCTTACGACGTAGGTTTTGTTGTTCTGCACGATTATTTTCGAACCTGGCACTGCAGCACCAGTCTTATTCATTTGGACTTGAACCATTTTCTGACCGGAAGAAGTGGTTGTCGCACTTGACGAGCTAGAGCTCTGATTGAGAAAGCGTACGTATTGGATTCCTTTGCCGGGAATGTTTATTGCCTGAATTTGTCCGGATTGCTGCCCTGCCTGGATGGCACTCTGAGGCAGGAAGACCTTGTGGCTTTGCACAGCGGACTTGGCGATCGTCGAAACTCGTTGCACTTGCCCGGCCGTACCAGTGGCTCCAGGAGATTGTTTCAACCGTACCATGGAAGAATTGGTTGTGGTGCTGGGAAGGATTTTGACCGGAGATTTTACCGCTGAGATTCCTGTGGGCCGTGGTTTTGCCACTGCCACCACTTGTTTCGTTTTGTTATTGTTGAGCAGGCCCATCTGATGGGCTTCGGCGACGGTTAGAGTTTTGGTAGTGGTAGTACCCGATGGTCCCATTTTCGTATGGATCACAACGTGGGTAGCAGGTCTAGCAACCGTTTTAGGTTTGTTCAGACTTACGGCTGTGGTAGCGGTTGTTGAGGTGGCTGTAGCAGGAACAACCCGTCGGATCATGGTTTGATTTTGGCCCTTCGATTGCATAACTACACCGCCTTCGCTTTTTACTAAATGGTAGGAGGTTGTGGTACTGGCTGCAGTAGCCGTTTTAGCATTATTGAGCAGTTTTACTGGGGCCACAGTAGAAGGCTGCTTCTGTATAAGAACAACCTTACCAGCCGCATTGGTAGCACGAATTAGATTCGTTGGCCTAGGCGCAATTTTCTGCACCATCGGGGCCACTGGTTTGTTGTTGACCACACGTTTGACCGTTATGTTTGGACTGGTAATCATTGTTTTTGGGATTGCGTCTTCAAAACATTCCTGGAAAGGTTAACAATTTAGTTGAACCGTACTTTTGGTCGACAGGTATATTTTGAAACTTACCTCCGTTTTCACATAAACTGTATCCTCTTCAAATTCGTCTTCGCCAGCTGAATACTCTACAAGGTCATCTGAACCAACGAGCATACCCTCGTCCAGGGAATCGATACCAAGCTCCTCCATTGCGGCTTGATCGTCAAATATGTAGTCCTCATCTGCAAAAATATATTCCTCAATTATTCCAGAATATGTAAATTTGAGCAATATTTATGTTTAGAGAGCGCAACATAAAAAGTGCTGAAGGATAGCACGCACACAAGCAAAGATCCCGAAGTCTCCAGCATTACTCATGATAAGGAAAGGACAACAGTGTAGGTACCTGAATATCAACAACAATCTACATTTTCGCTTTATTTATAAAATGCTAAAGCACGAATTACTCCACCCGCGATAGAATCTTCCGTGTCCAACCGCCCATATTGCCACATTTCAAATGGAACCCGCACATTACATTATTCACGTCAATAAAAATCGTTTTCAAATTAAACTGCCATGACAGCATTGGTAGTTACTCACCAACTTCCATTTTTCGATCCTTTCAAGCCCTCACAAACGATCAAAATTTACTACAAAATAAACCGTTTAGACTACTGGTCAAGGGTGTGCCAGCTGGTCCTTCTGTTCGCGGATTCTTCCAACTGCGCCGTTCCTCGCGGACAGCAACAACAAAAACACCCTTGCTGCTGCTTCGTTCGGCTTCTGGGGGTCGCGGGCTCGAGCTCACATTCGCCACTGCTGCTGCCGCCGCCGTCGCCGCGAATCCAACTGGAAATCTGTCAGCTCGAAGTCGTTTTTTGACCGATTTTTTCCTCGCTCCCAAACCGACGCCGTCTTCCAATTCTCGCGAACTTTTTCACTTTGCATCCAATCCACTCGCTGAATGTAACACTTTTTACTTAAATTTAGTCAGGTTCAGCCGCTATTTCGGTGAAAAATCAAACTAGCAAATAAAAATTTCAAACTCAAATTTATATTTTCTTCGTTTTGCTGCGCTTTTGGCTCCTATTTTCTTATTGGCAGAGCTGACAGCCAATGTTGCCAACCGAAGACGGGGAGCGTCCGCGTTTGCGGCGAAGGGGCGTCGTCGTCAGACGTTAGGAGACGCATGTGGTAAACCCCGGTGGTGATTTCGATTCTGAGAGGAGATGAGGCTTAATGTTGCAAGTCCGTATCTGAAAATGTCGGGAGCACATCTTGGACGCCAGAATTGCACGTCCGTCGAATGTAACTCAGAGACTGAGTCAAGTTGACTCACTCTCTTTCGTTTTTCCCATACAAATTTGACTCAGTTTCGTAAAAAATGGACTTACTCATAGCACTGAGCATGGTGGGTATATAAATGGTGATACAGCTTTGTCAATATATAGGCGAGGAGGTCGCGAGGGAGAAAAGTGCGGTTTTAGAGCAAATTGTAAACAAACTCGGTCGCTGTCCCATACAAAAATCCAACATGGCTGAATCATGAATTTGACACATTAGAACACCTATATGTAGTCACCTTGGCACTGAGCACTTCATTTTTTACGAAACTTCCAAAATTTGTATCCAGCATTTTGCGAGCGCTTATGGCCGCCGCAATCTGACTGAGTTTTTGGTAGGGAAAATATAATTTGACGTTTGGGTTGTGTCGTTTGACGTGTAAACGTTCAAATTTGATCGTTTACACGTCAAACGACACAACCCAAACTTCAAATCTTATTGACGAGTGCACGGATGGATTTTAGTTCACTCACTCGACAAAAAGTGACACAACAGCGGGGCCCTGTTTACTAAAAATAAACACATATGTGTTCATTTTTAGTAAACAGGGCCCCGCTGTTGTGTCAGTTTTTGTCGAGTGAGTGAACTAAAATCCATCCGTGCACTCGTCAATGTTCCCTACCTGAAACTCAGCCAGATTGTGGCGGCCATAAGCGATCGTAAAATACCAATGCAAGGAATGAACTGCACGAACAAATTTGACGTTTGAGCGGTGCCGTGTTTACTAAAAATGAACACATGAATAATACTCGCGTAACATTTAAAAATGAACTATCAACTTATGTACATAAAACTTGTTAGACATTTTTCGCGCGAACCGAAGTACGCCCATGCAAACCAACAACACCATTGGGTAGGGTGAATTCTCCCCTTTCCGATAGTGGTTTGGTTTGCGTGGGTGTTCTTCGGCTCGTGAGAAAAGGGCCTAACAAGTTGTTTATAAAAGTTGATAGGACCTTTTCTAAAAAGACGCGAGCATTACATCATGTGTTCATTTTTAGTAAACAAGGCACCGCTCAAAAGTCAAATTTTATCGTGAGTTCATTCCGTGAATTGGTCAATTAGAAATTGACGAGTGCACGGATGGATTTGAGTTCACTCACTCGACAAAAAGTGACACAACAGCGGGGCCCTGTTTACTAAAAATGAACACATATGTGTTCATTTTTAGTAAACAGGGCCCCGCTGTTGTGTCACTTTTTGTCGAGTGAGTGAACTCAAATCCATCCGTGCACTCGTCAATACTCAGAGGGAGAGATGGGCGGAGAGAATGTTTTGAGCCAAATGAACTCTCAAAATCTGAGCCAATCGAACATTCCAATTAGATTTGTCCGAGGATTTCTTATTCTTACTAGAATAAATTTGAGAGTATTGCAATCGAACAGAAATTGACCACTTTGTCAAGCAGTTTTGGCGTGACTTTCTACCAGCGATTTCACAAAAATGGACTAACTAATTTCTATTTTTTTATGAAACGCACAAATGATGGCTACTTTTCTCGTGGTTCTAGAAGAAAAAATCTCAAAATAATGTTTTATTTCAAAGTTCGAGTGGTAGTAAACGTCATTTTAACTGCTCGAATGAAGTGGTTAATTCAATCACCTTTATGTTTTGTGTGCTTCTCAAATTCAACTAGTTTTTGGAACCAAAAACAATATTCTAACTCTATTGATTAATTGATCTTCGTTGGTTAATGAATGGCAACAAGAAATGTGCAAAATATTGCGATGCGATCAATTGTTATTTTGTACGTAAATCGAATCAAAAATAAAAGTCATTTGAAATACTAGCTTCTAGCAAGGGTTGCAAGATAATTTAGGAACAAATCCATGCTGCCGAATTGTATTTTGTTTTCTCCGGCTATCTCTCCCTCTGAGTATTTCTATTCGCTACACGCTATTTCAAAACTACCCAAATTTGGGTAGAATCCACCCAGATCCGTCAAAACATAACCTACACAAAAATGGGTAAACTGTGTTGGGAGTGACAACTTGACAAATGAACAACGTCGATCGGATTCATATCAATTAGGTTTTGCACCGTCGGGGTTAACCTCAATCTGATGACAGTTCAGTGGTACTGTTTACGTGGACTTAGTCGATTTTTTCTTGGGTGGATTTTCTCGATAATTTTTCAGACTGCAGTGAGATGTAAACCACACTTCTGCAATGTCCACGAGCAACATCCTTTCAACGCGCTGTTCCTCAACAATTTTCAAGTTTAAATTCGGAAATTTTAGAATTTTTTTTTTTTTTAAACGACTAAGTGCTTGTAAACAGTACCACTGAACTGTCAAAAAGGTTCAGCCGATTAACACTGAGTTCATTCGTGACGTCACGCTGCAGAACCTAATGTTGTTCATTTGTCAACTTGTTAACTCCCAACACAGTTTACCCATTTTTGGGTAGGTTCAGTTTTGACAGATCTGGGTGGATTCTACCCAAATTTGGGTAGCTTTGAAATAGCGTGTATGAAAGTTTGACAGATAAAATGAGGGGTTCGTGGATTTTCCTATGTTTCGAGGGGTGCATCGATTAGCTTGGGACCGAAGATAGTACCAGAGCTGAGCCAAAAAGTGAACTCGTTTCTTCGGGACCTTTCGGTCTTGTAAAACCATAGAATTTCGACTAGAATGGGGTACGTTCATCGATGTACTTGGGACCAATAGACTAGTCCAGTGTGCGCCAATTTAAAATCGTTAGTTTTCACCGGTGTACTTTGTACCTCGCTTTGTACGTCGGTCGAAGGCCTTAAATGCATTTAAGTTAAATATGACTAGCCTATCCAGCATTTTACGAGTGCTCATGGCCGCCACAATCTGGTTGAGTTTCTGGTAGGGAACATTTGACTTGATTTTTGGGTTGTGTCGTTTGACGTATAAACGATCAAATTTGACCGTTTACATGTCAAACGACACAAGCCAAACATCAAATAATATGTTCCCTACCAGAAACTCAACCAGATTGTGGCGGCCATGAGCGCTCGTAAAATACTGGATTGGTCCCAAGCAAATCGTTTAAGGTACCCCATTCTATTTGTTTATTTGTTATGGTTGCATCAACAGACTAGAAATAGTCCCAATGATGTGTTGTAAAAAAGTACAGATTATACAGACGACATACATATACTACAGTTACTACAGTTACAAACGAAAATAACTTGGAAAGCATTGTCAAGTTACTAAAAATTTATAAGTCTTAAATTTTACACTTAGCTGTTGGGTATCAAGCGCCTTCGGTCAGCAAAAAAGGCAGAGAATCTTCGGCGAAGCATATTCCGTGTCAAGTGGAAATCGAACATCGACGCTACTCGGTTGAACACTAGCTGCAAGCCGTAAATAGCGCTCCCTATGCTATAATTAGTTCGAAGAAGTGGAAGTCTCAGCATAAGACTGTTGCGTAGTGATCGAGGTTGAACATTAATGTTCACTTGTTGCAGAATTGCTTCGCAGTCAATTCTTCCTTGCAGAGTATCGGCGACGGTTAAGGCTCTGAAAACATCTCTTCGGATACGTAAGGGCTCGATATTGATCAATTGGCAGCGATTCTCGTAGCTTGGAAGACGAAGTGGGTATCTCCAAGGCAGCTTACGGAGCGCGAAGCGAAGAAAACGTCGTTGAACAGATTCAATTCGCTCGGCCCCATTATTGTAGTTCGGGCTCCAGACAGCAGAGCAGTATTCCAACGTAGATCGTACGAGAGAGCAATAGAGCGATTTCAAGCAGTAAATGTCCGTGAAGTTCTTAGTAATCTTGAAGACAAAGCCAAGCGTTCTGGACGCTTTGTCGACGACATACGATATATGGTGTGAGTATGTCAGCTTTGAGTCTAGAAAAACGCCTAATAGCGAATTCGTTTATTATCGGGGTTAACACCAGTTCCAACCCAGTGCGAAACCGAACTTTTTGTCAGTGTGAACCTCAACCTGAGCTAGGTTTTAAAAACAAACGAGCAAACTGACGTTTGTCAGAAAACAAGCAGACCCGATCCAGGTTGGAACTGAATAATAAACGAATTCGCTATAAGTCTTTCACGCAGTGCACCCGTTCGATAGTCGTGCCTAGTAGTTTGTAGTTGAAAATAATCGGTTGTTTCTTGCGTGAGAAAGTAATAACTGTACACTTAGCTGGGTTGACCACCAGTCGGTTTAGACTACACCAGTCAGCAAAGATGTCAATCTGATTTTGGAGAGAACGGCAGACGGCGAGTGAGCGGATGCGCAGAAAAACTTTCAGATCGTCTGCAAACGATAATCGTGGCTCTGTGATAACATGGTGAACGTCGTCGAAGTAGAGGAGAAATGCCAATGGTCCCAGATGGCTGCCCTGAGGTATACCGGACTTTGCGCAGAAGCTTGCTGAGCGACAAGTACCCAAAGTTACTGTCAATTGGCGCTCCGTTAGGTATGAACGAAACCATCTCAAAAGATTTCCACCGATCCCTAGCCTATCAAGCTTAGCGATCGCAATTTCGTGGTTCAGCTTATCGAAGGCTGCCGTAAGATCTGTGTAGATAACGTCCGTTTGGGTCCGAGCAATCAAACTGTCTGTGATGTAAGACGTTAGGCACAGCAGGTTCGTAGTTGTGGAACGCCCAGTTATGAATCCGTGTTGATCTGTACTTAGATATTGCCTGCAATGCGCATTTAGGGACTCTATGACAACCAATTCAAAAAGTTTTGATACAGCACTCAGCGATGTGATTCCCCGGTAGTTGTTTACGTCGCGTTTGCTTCCCTTTTTATGAACAGGAAACATATCCGCAGTCTTCCAGCAAGACGGAAAGATGCCGCTGGAAAGAGAGAGCTGGAATATGCGGCGCAGTGGATCTAAAAGACAAGTGATGTTCTTTTTAAGAATAATCGACGGAACACCATCGGGTCCAGCCTTAGTTGAAGTCTTAAGTTTAGATGCTGCTCTAGAAATCGTATCTGTAGTGGCTTCGACCATGCTGAGCGTTTGGTTGATCAAAGAACATTACTGGCCGCGGAAGTAATGATATTAGCGGAGAGTTGCTCGGCTACAAACACACTAGCAAATTTGGCTGAGAACAGGTTGCAAATGTCTTGTTGATTTCCAGCAGTTTCACCATTAAAAATCATGGAAGAGGGTAAGCCGACTTCCCTGCGTTGCTCATTTACGAAGTTCCAGAAGGATTTCGGGTGTGATTTTAGCCGCCGTTGAATCCTCCTTTGATAGCGTTGAAAACAGAGACGACTTAACCGCTTATACTCGTGGTTGAGTCTGACATAGTAGCATTTCAGTCGCAGTGTGCGGAGTTTAGTAAATCTTCTGAGAGCAGCCTTCTTAGTTCTTTTCAACGAGCGAAGATCTTTCGTCATCCACGGGACGCGAGAGTCGATATGGATGATCTTTTTGGAAACGTGTCTGTCAATGACATATGCCAAGACGTGAGAAAAGGTTTGTGCAGCAATGTTGACGTCTACAGGATCTAGAATATGCTCCCAATCTAGATTAGACAGCACATGGACGATACTGCAATGGTCAGCTCTACGGAAGTCATATGTCACAGCGTTTGGAGTGCTGGTGAAATCATCGACAATATTATTTTCGATCACGATAACTAAAGCAGGGTGATGATGCACTACCTTGACTAAAGGTTCGGGTGCCGTGGAGAGGAAAGGAGCTGTATCACGAGCACTCACAAAGCAGAGATCCAGGGTGCGGTTGTTTTCATTCAACAGGCCATTGATTTGTGACAGAATTGCGGTACTATAACTGTCCAGGAGCTGGATGGTTCCTACGTGGAAAGATGAACGCTTGTGATCAGGACAAAAGAAACCACTATGGGTTGGAGTCCATGCAATGTCCGGTAGGTTAAAATCGCCAAGAACAATAACTTCGTCGGAAGGGCCTGCTTTGTCTGAAGCGGCCAAGACGGATCGACAATGTGCGTCAATAAGCTCCAAGTCACGGGTTCGATCTGGAGGAATGTACACTGCACAGAGAAGCAATTGACGATCACCAAGTTGAATAGCCACCCACATTTGTTCAACCCTGTTCCAGGAATCGTCCTCGATAACTTCTGCTTTCAGCTTGGAATTAACTGCGATAAGGACGCCTCCCCCAGTAGTTTTCCTACTATTATTCGTGTTTCTTTTTTTTTTCCTTTATTTAACGTCGGTCTCTGTTCCGCAATCTAGTGCCAATCACCGACGGACATCGATTGCCATCCATTGACAGCAATCGAATGTGCAGGAAGGCAGCTTCCACATCTGCGTAGGATATCGCACCCATTCAACACACATACATGGGGCGAGACCAACGGCTTTACTTCCCTTCCGAAGGAAGACGTGACCAGAGATTTTTATGCCTCAGAAAAATCCCACCGACCTCGGCTGGGATTGAACCCAGACCCATTGGGGTGAGAAAGCAGTCACGCTTACCACTACACCACCGGCGCCGGCCATTATTCGTGTTTCGATCGCAGCGAAATATTTCGTAGCCAGCACCAAAGACATAGTTTGAAATGGTTCGATAATTGAGCCATGTTTCGGTCAAAACTAAAATGTCGTAGCAGTGATCCATGACGGCCAGATGATAATCTTCCACGAGGCCGTTCATACCACCAACGTTCTGATAGTAAATCGTTATGTCCGACCTCCGCTGTTCGGGAACAACGGAAGGTTCAGCGTGTAGTTGCATTTGGGAGCTGGTAGATGTCACTTGACGGAGGAAGGATGTTCGAGTAGGGTCGCTGGAAACCAAGATATTTTCAGGCGATAATATATTCGTCGGTTGATCATACTTGCCAATAACATAGTGGTTTGTGGTAGACACAACAAATTCTCCCCTACCCGATGGAGTTGTTGGTTTGCGTGGGTGTACTTCGGTTCGTGCGTGTAGGCCCTAGCAAGTTTTATTTACAAAAGTTGATAGGCTCTTTTCAAATGTGACGGGAGAATTTTATCCACCACAGGAGGGCTGACATCTGTTGGATTTGATGGCCACGACATAGCATATCTAGATTTTTTTTATCAGTTAGGATTTCTTTCAAAGCGACAACACAAAGGCAAAATCAGTTATTTTACATCATTTTCTTGAAACATTATTCTCACTGAGCTTTTGTTATAAAATATATAGGTACGTCGTACACGTGTTACTGGATAATTATTTTTACAATCTAAGACATATACCGTGATTTTTCGTCTAAATAATAGAGCCTTCTTTCAATCGAGTCGGTAAGAGTCAGTTTGTTTGAAGCGATTGTCCTTCTCATAGCATTTTTCTTTTTGTCAAAAGTCTTATAAAAACAATAAATAGCTCTCATTCTCATCTGCATCTGGTCTACTCTATGTGAATATATAAAGCAAAAATATATAATATAAATAAGCATAAACGGTAATTATGGTAAAAGTATGCTACAAAGGAGTAGCCACGCCATCGTTCAAGTCGTGCTTTCTTGAATCGAACCGCGGGAGTTACGTTGATAATTTCAAAAGTTCGAACGTGTTAAAATCTTCTAAATGTGAAACAATAATGAGTAGAACTTACAAAATAAAGATACACAGACACATCACAGGGCAAAGTTTACGGAGCACGTGATATACTTACTTTTCCCCGTTATTTCTCAATTTTGCTTCTTTGGATAAACTTAAAATGATATTTTTTTAGTAACGATTCGAAAGATGCAGTAGGTAGAAATGCGAAAGAGATTAAAGAGATCGAAAATTATTTGGGGGGGGGGGGTCTACGGCGCGCAAAATTGTACACCACTTGTTACTGATAGTTCACGTAGCCCTCGGCGGCGATTGTGAATGGGATGCTATGGTCGATGTCCCCCGACAAGTGGGAAATCATCGGTATTCGGAGGGGTTGGTGCGTTAGGAAGCTTGCCGTAGTCACTGGTGGCGAGCAGGATGATGACGACGGGGATGTAACGGTGGAACTGGTTTCGCGGTTTTCCATGATTTCATTGCCAGCATCCGGACTGTATTGACCGAGAAAAGCGGCCGCATCTTCGGTGGCTAGCTGCATTAGGGCGAGGGCTCCCTGGAGTTTTCGATTGGTTTCTTCCGGCCGATGCGGCTGGGTTGCCGGAATCATCGGTTGTTCATTGAGCGGACGAGCGCAGTGCTTGCTGGCTACCATTAGCACCGTTGGACGCATCTGGTTTGGGTTGATAGCGGCTACTTTCGCTGCTTCTCCGTTTGTCGTTTGTTTGAGGTAGTTGCTTTCCTGGTTTAGTTGCTGCTTCAGAGCGGCTGTCGAGGTGGTACTGGATAATGCCTGTGGTGAAATAATGCTGGGCTCTAAAGGTTTAGCTAGATCTTCCTGCCATGCATCACGTAGCCACTTCTTCTTTGGATTGAACGTCGACCGAGCAGGCACTCCAGTGGACTCATCACCGGAGTCGTCCTCCTCTTGGCTGGTCGGTTCATGCCATTGGATTAGCTTGGGTTGGTTTGGTTTGGTTTTAGCTGTGATCGGACTGGCCGATAGACCCATACCGGCATTCATGTCCAGCTCGCACATCAATCCCTTGCGGCTTTTAAATGGCGAACGCGGCGTTATCGGCGACTGGAATGCGCTTCCGTTGGCCTCGTAGTTCTCGTTGTTCACAACCGATTGCGCTCGGTTCTCATTCTCGTTCTGGGCGCTGTGATTGGGCCTCTTCGGAGTCTTACGCGTGGGTGTTCGATCCTCACGCTCCAGTCGGTATTTGTCCAACCATTTCAGAACTTCGGAGTTCTGTTCCGGTACGGTTTGGATGACAAAGTCGTCGCATCGTTTCAGCGTATCGTAAGGATGGTCCGGGCAGTGTCGGTTGGCATGGGTAAAGCGCATCTGACAGTTGGCGGCGGCACAGATGAATGGCCGTTCGCCGGTGTGCAACCGTTGGTGGGTCTTCAGCTGTCCGCTCTGGGTGAAGGCTCGGGTGCATCCCGGGTAGTCGCACTGGTAGGGACGTTCGCCTGAAAAGGTAGGATATAGATTTGGAACGTTAGACAACAGAGCTAGTTGTGATGGAGCTAGAGGGGTAGTTACAGATTTATTAAATTCCAGCAAGCAGCGTAAACCTTTTTCAAAAGTGCTCGAAAAACCTGTCCCATTTAAAATATGCAGAGAGAATCGAGAAAAAATTGGACAACTGCTATTTAATAGCTGTCAATTTATTAAAAGTTCCACCCAATTCAGGATAAACTTAAAATCATTTACCAATTTGCATACCTAGTCAACAAAGATCTTGAACGATATTTAAATTTAAATATTGATTATTGCGTCGCAGAAAAAATGATTTTTTTATACTCATGAAGGAATCACATCACATCGAGTCACATGCTAAAAATTAAAAATCCCCTAGCAAAAGGGACACACATTTGCTGTGCCCATATCCAGAGTGAAACACCGGTCCATAAAATCTACAACGCAATGAACGCTTCGAAAATGAAACAAACAAAAAAACTATCCCTCTTTTATTCATTGAAAATCTCTCCTGTTGGAAGAAAGCCGATGTGGCAACGACCAAGAGAAGAAGGAACCCTACATAAATCCAAATCCGAAGGGTTTCAATCACCACTGCGTTTTACCTGTCCAATCTCTACCTCTATCTGCTATTGTGTTCTATTCACCGTATACAGAATCCGGCCTGGTTCTTTCGTTCTTCCGTGCGTCCTTTCACTTTCGGAGAAACCCAAAGGGGGTTGCAAAAAAAAAATCTACACATATCCCATAAGGGGAGGGTGAAAACTACCGGTGTTGTACACCTTTAACCAGTTTTTAAACCATCGTCACGGAACACGTGCAAAGAAACATTCTAACATTATAATACCTATTCATGAGATACGACATACGAAGGGAAAACGTGGTTCCAACGTGAAACACCGGGAGTGTCGAAAAATGATGCGTCATGTTCGATCCTGTTAGATCGACGGCGACGTGGCGTGGCGTGACAATGCGGCGGGAATAGGTCTCAAACTGCTTTTGTTTTCGGGCAATTTCGGGCAACGGGATTATGTTGTTGTTGTTGTTGGCAAATCGCGAAAGCAATTTGGCGTTTCTGTGTGGCCGTTGACACCTTGTTGTTTTTTAAATTTAAATAGCTACACACGAGCGGGCCGGTCACACGTCGCCGATTGGATGCGTTGGCGTTAATTTTATGCCTATAGTCGAGCGTGACCGGACTTTTGAATGCCAATATTTTGACTGGGCATTTATTTACACCGGTTTTGCTTTTTGGATTTGTGGCTGATTTGCTTTGTTTTTTTTTAGAGAAGAAAGCGAATGCTAGGAATGCCAGTACTCCGTTCAAATAAGAATCCTTATCAAGTCTTATTTTGGCAGCGTATCCAAAAAATGACAGGCAGGATGCCTAGGTCACCTCCGTATGATATATGCAATTTACAATCAGTAGGTAGGTATATGAATTTTTATTTCAATTGAAGCTCCCTCCTATTATGTATCCCCGCTCCATTCCGGTCGTTCTAATATAGGAGTTTTGCTCTAAATACTGTTCCATACCTCTCTTGACATGAACAAGGTTACCAGGGAATAAATAATTATTTGGTTTATTTTAGTTTCTTCTCTTTTTTTTACTTAAGCCCAATTTTTTTATAAGACTAGTATTAATGTAAATGTGATATAAATAGTGCGTCTCTCTTAATGTAATTTATATAAGGTCTGAGTCAAAGGACTTACTGAGTAAGTGAAATGTGCAAATGTTTAGGGTTTGCAATGTTTATCTTTTCACACAACACGGTAACCGCAAAATACCCAATAATGACTACAAAGTAAGCATTTTCGATGGAAACTGGGACTACCCATAAAATGAGTAAAATTTTACCCATTTATGAGTAATTACAACTACAAAAATAAGTAGTAAGTATTCATTTTTGAGTAACAAATACTCATAAATGGGTAATATTTTTACTCATTTAATGGGTAGTCCCAGTCTCCCTCGAAAATGCTTACTTTGTAGTCATTATTGGGTATTTTGCGGTTACCGTGAAAACCGCTGTTGGCAGTGACGTAATTCTATCTATTCGCAGTATGTCGTCATTTGAGTGCTCAGCAATTGCTTCTCCCTACCTGAGTTTACACGAGCACCTTACACCTATTCTACACTTATTCTCAACTTAGTGTTTTTAAAAGCACTTAGTGGCACCTTAGTGTTTTTAAAAGCACTTCCATAGTTATTAATTGAGAGCTTTAACCATGCCACAATCTGGTTTTGAATGTTGTGTGGTAAGAACAATGATACAGAATTCCTACCAGGAAAATCGAGAACATTTCGTTTAATTTTCAAGCACAGAAGGGGGTCATAAGGTCAGGTCTCCAGTGAATAATCACTGTATATACTGCACCTCATTATTGGTCTAACTTTCATTGACCTGATAATTAAATCTCGTCCTCGTACGTCTTAAGTGACTAAATGCTTCAGTTCAAGATCAGTTCCCTATTAATTATATGATGTTTAGTAAGTGCTTCAATCACAGCTACAAGCAGTGTTGGGAAAATATCAAAAAATCAAATCTCACCAACGCCCAAGATCACGCTTGATTTTCGTAGACAAAAATCAACAAGCAAACAACTGCGGTTGATTTTGCAAGCTGTGATATCGCAGCTTGGAATATCAAGCTAACAAAACTCACCAACTGCAAATCTCACCAAACTGTGGTGAGATTGAGTTTAATGATTTTTGCTTTACTCCCGAATGCAACCGAAACTTCCATAACGGCTTCCAGCAGTTCCTTCGCGTCTGCCATCGGTGAAGATTAAAAAGAGATAGCAAACTATGCTTTCTCTTTCTAAGAAAATGATGTACAATGGAATCATGTTTGTGTTGAGTCAACTCTTAGCTTGATGTTTGCACGTTGTGAATAATCTCGTAATATCAAAGGAGCTTGTAAAATCAATATCAAGCATGATATTTTGTTCCAATATCACGCGTGATATTGCGAGCGCATGAGATCGGAAAAATACAGCTAGCTGGCATCCCTATCTTGTTTGCCTTGCCTTGAAAAGAGCTAACATCGCTGCGGACCCGCGAATTGCGGGCCCCACTGACAGCTCATAATTTGTAAACAAATAGAAGATTCAAGCCAGAATTTCAAAAAAGGCGTGACTGATATTATGGATATTCTTAATATTTTTGCTTACATTTTGTGAAAAATAAACTTAGGACTCATAAAATATTATTTTCTGATTTTCTTCCACGAAGTCAACCATTTATATGGCATAAAAGGGAAAATAATTTCATTTGATAAAAATAAGACAATTCAGTCACGCCATTTTTGCAGTTCACACTGGAATTGTGACGTTTCAGATGTTGGTTTCAATAACATGGCGGCATGCCAGCCAGCTGGAAAAATATCAATTGATTTCTGATTTTGCTAACACAGGTTACAAGATTCCATCACAACAGAAGCACACCATTGTTTTGATGAAGAAAAAAAAAACAGTTGAGCAATCAAAATAAAAGTTTTTTTTTATTGCACTTTCAAGAAAAAAAATATCAACAGTCTTACTCCGATTTGGTTTTGATGAAATGGCGAACGTTTCTTGAAATACCTCGCATCATCTTTTGGACACTCTGTTCGTCAACTTGAGCGACCATTTTATTCCACCATCTCCTTCATCTCTGTAGAACGCCAAGTTACTTTTCCAGTCTTTATCAGCTTCCGCTTAACAATTGGCCAATATTTCTCGATTGGGCGAAATCGATGGCAATTGGGTGGGGTTGAGCTCTTTTTCGATGTTGTCACGGTACCACTGAAGTGTCTCTAGATTGCAGTAGCAGCTAGCCAAATCTGGCTAAAACTTTACTGGGCCTTTGTGTGCTTTGATGAATGGTAGAATGCGTTTTTTCAATCCTCTGCCAAGAAGGAGGGTTGCTGAAGCCACCACCATTGGTGGTGTCAGCACTGTAGCCTACAGTTTTTATGCTATGTTTATATGTGCATTGACGACACATATGCGTTAAAAAATCTTATGGGAATAATCATTAATGAAACTTGAATTTTTCATGATTAGCTTGCCTAATTTAAAAATTAATATAACAAATGTATAATTCCTACATGTACGCGCTTGTTGAACATTTATCAGGATTATTTCTTACATTATTTCTTTATCGCGAACATTTATCACAAATCCAATTTCTATGTGGACGGAGCATAATTTCTCAATGTTTGCATCAGCTGTCTTAGATCGGCAGATAATCGAGCCAAAGAACCAACAACTTTGGCTTCAAGCAAAATGTTCGTGGATGACGTTTCTGCAGTGGTTTTTTTTTCAGACACTCTTCCTTGTAGAGCTTCGAGTTCATAGACTCATTTGTAACGAAAACTTGAGTTTTTTGTCCGCAGCTGCAAATCGCTTGTCAAATCAGAAATTTTCTATATTTATATTAAATTTATATTTGTTGGGGACGTCTCCTCGAGCTGTGTCCACATACAACTTTTGCCCGGCAAGCTGCCCAAAGTCCATATTTACATTCGTTTTGTCGTCCCTCAGTATGCATCCAGGGTTCCTCGTGAGAATCTCTCTGTGTAACTTCCGAGCGCGTGCTTTGGCCATTCAGCTCTGTTTCAGTGTCCGGTTTGCCTGCTTGCTGGCACGATAAGAACGATAGCCTTCGCGTAGACGGATCCTCTGGACGGTGCTTTTGTTGGAATTGTATTTTATGACAATGTCGCCATCAGAGAGTTCTGGGTTTGCTCTAATTTACTACTAATCTAAACGCTTACTGTGATCGCTACTGAATCGTATTTTCGCTAATGTTAACGGAACTGCTCTGAGGTTCTCTGTTCTTTGCTGAAGTTCTCGAAAATTGTCTAAAATTTGTGCAGTTCTAATGCAGCTTTTAATAATGCCAACCGGTGGAAACTAACGATTTTAAATTGGCTCACTACTTGATTAGCCTATTGGTCCCAAGCAAACGATTAACGTACCCCATTCTAGTCGAAATTCTAGTACA